AAGAGGCCTCCTGTCTTCTCTTTTCACTGGAGGATTAGCGTAGCTCTATTTATGCAAGTGCCAGCTGCAGAGCTCATCTAAGCACCTCTGTCTGCCATCCCTGGTACCCTGCTCCTTTTCATTCATTTGCCCTTCTCCCCCAAAAGAAGGCTTAGACTCAGTGAGGCATCTTCCAGGAGATGGGAATGGCCTTGCTTATTGCCAGGAGGATGAGGACCCCAAACTGACAAGGAGGGATGAGAAAGCAAGGAGATTTGCAGAAAGCTGGGACCTGAATCCCGACCTTCTTCAGCATCACTGATATTTATACTGCAGAAGCACCTAAAGCATGGTCCCCAACCCTCACTAGCTCGGGGGCTGCAATGCCGAGCAAGCGATGAACCATGGGCAGCTTCATGCTTTGCCGTTGTTGGAATCTTTTTTATTTCCTGTGGCAGCAGTGCAGCAGGAGAGTTCCCTCGGGCAGCATGCTGCTTGCAAACCTTACACTGGGCACTGCTGGGGACCATCCCCTATAGGAACTATAAGCCACCTGAGATCTGGTCCCTTGTGCTAGGTGCTGCACATAGCAGCAAGCAGGCCCTGCCCTAAAGATCTTATAGCCTAAGTAGGCCAGACAGTGGGCGGGGAAACAGAGGAGCAGCGATGTGCCCAAGGAGGCCAAGGACCAAGGCAGGAGTGACACCCAGGCTTTCTGAGTCTGAGTCCAGTGCTCCATCCACTGGGCCAAACTGTGATGTTGATGCCAGAGCCTCAAGTATCCATTTTTCTGTGGCTGCTGAAGTGAGTGACAGACTCATTGTCCATTAATAATACTCAGTTCTCTCAAGGTATTTCCCATTTAGAGCTCACAAAGCTTTGGGCTGGTATCAACAGTCCCAGCTGGCAGACAGGGAAAGTGAAGCCCAGGCAGGGGAAGCGACATGCCCAGGGTCATGTGGGAAGTCAGTGGCAGTGCAGTTAGAAACCAGGCAGCCTGAAGCCCAGGTTCCCTGGTCTGCCTTTGCTTCTGCTGCACAGGAACTGAATTGGCAAAGATGCTGCAGTGTATAATGTAAATAAAATGGAACCAGTTACAGTGACCTGAAAAATGCCCAAGCTCCTGCTCAACTGCCTGCGTTTAGCTGGACTCGAAGCATTATTTAAAGCCATTTGGTCCCCTTCGGCTTTAAAAATCACAGAGCCCAGAGGCCGCAGTCTGTGCCTTCCAGCTTGCATTGGCGGCAGTAGCTCGTTCCCCAAGGACATGCTGAGCATCTATTTTTGCTTAGCTGTGATTAACCCATTTGGCTACAAAAACACACCCTGTTTCCCATTCAGTTCCTTGCCTAGGACAGGAGGGGAATATTCGCTCTATGGAAAGCTGTTGTAGGTTGTGTTTCCCGATTCTTCCTTGCAAAGATGCAGATTAAATGTGAATTATTGCAGCTCCAGGCAGAGAGCTGTAACACAACGCAAGACTGATCTCACTGGAGCAGGCAAGAAAATAAATCCTCCCCCCCCACCATCCTCTACTCCCTCAAGGTTTCATCTCCTGTCTACAGCCGGTCTGCACTGTTTGTGACTCCAGTCCTGCAATGATGCTGTAGTGATGCCTTGGGGTGGATGCGGGAGCATGCTCACTGGGGCGCAAAGCATCCATCTAATCGCAGCAAGGAGAGGCTCGGGCTGTTTGCTGACTGAGAGCAAGTGCCTCATATGGTGAAACTGGGCATCATATGATCAGCACAGAGCAAAATGGTGGCACAGGACCCTTAGAAAAGCTGCTTTATTCAGGAAACTCTGGGAAAGGAAGTAATCTTAAGCTAGCTGCACATGGGAAGGACAATCCAAGGCAAGATTCACCCGAGGAACTGGGAGCTAACAGGTTAAGCATCCTTTTCATAGATTTGTTTTGTTTCCTTCTACTTTTAGAAAGACTATTCTAAAGGATCTGAAAATCCTGGGTCTCTGTTATAAACCATAGAGCCTCACTGCAGCATGTATTTCGGATCAATCAGAGAGATGGATGGGCTTTTTTTTGGACACTGCATCCCTGGGCTGTCAGGCAGTGGGGGTCAAATCACAGTCAAATATTCAGCCCAGCTGGGGAAAAAAAACGGATCCTGTGGATCTTTTCAATAGATCTAGGAATATTATTCGTTCCTGTCAGTTCAGGGGAACGCTGTCTGATATGAAGGGACCACTGAGCCTTTGATCAGAACTCGTACATTCATAAATATAAAACCACCAGCTCCAGGAGGATTATCCCTTAATCTAAATATTCATACTGTTTAATGTGTCTGGTGGTTGCAGCGTCACGGCAGTGCAGAAAGAAGCCTCTGGAGTTTCATAAGGCCCTCCCTTATATGAGTGTGCCAGTCAAAACCAGTTCTCTGTTGCTTTGCAACTGGCATCATGATCTGTAGGATTTGGCTTCTGTCTTTGCAAAGCGTCTTCCCACAGCTCTGAGCAAGTGCTGGCTAATGGGATGCAAGCTCTAGCATGGATTGCTATGCAATTAGCAGAAAGAAAGCAGCATGGAGCGTTACACTGTGCCCCCTGGACTTCAGGATAGCATACGCCGCGTGCAAGAGAGCGCCCAGGGCAGCATTCAAAGAGTTGGCACGGTGAGAAGTGTCACGTGTATGAACTGGGGGACAGATTCTCATCTCACTTTCCAGCCTTGGCTTCCTCAGAATTACACAGGGTTTACATTAGTCCGAGTGAGCAGAGAGCCTGGCTCCAGGACTTGCATTTGAAAGCAAGATGGTAATTAAATTGGTATTTCTGAGCCTTGCAGTGATCCTCTTGTAGAAAAGTGTCTATGCCACAGGGAGCACAAGCGCCTGATGGAAGGAACTGAATGTGCTGACCCATCATGCTGTACCGCGGGGTGGTGGTAACAGCCCAGCGGGGCCATGTGTCATGTCAGCCTGGTACTCCCGGAGATGGTCATGGGTTTGAATTCTTGGGTAGGTCACAAGCAGTGAAACTACCCAGCCTGCTGGTGCTCTTGTCCAAGTGTATATTTTCGTGTATTACAAAACCGCTGCAGGTTTCGGGTCTGATCATCAAGTCTTGCACAACTGAGAGCCAGGACTGAGCTGGGAAAGGCATGATTCAAGGGTGCAAGCTCTGAAACAGGAAGCCAAGGTCCATGGACTTTTAATTCCATCCCTGGTGCTGACTCCCTTATACTGTAGTGAAGTTCACTTATGGCACCAGTTTCCTCCCTCACATAAAGGAGACAATAATCCTAATTTCCCTTGAGAGGAGCTGCTATGAGGATGAATCAGTTAATATCTGCAGGATGCTAAAAAGATCAATAATGCTCAGTAGCAGCAGAGGCAGTGTACACGTTCGACTGTGATACTCCTTGTAGGATGGTGAATAGACATTTTGCAAAGCACTTCTTGTATTAAGAGCCAGATTTTCCTCCCCTTTTATCCCTGTGCAAAAATACCAGGCCAGGACAGAGAAAACATGCCTATGACCCATGTTCACCTTGCACAGAAACACTCATGCTTTGAGAGGCCACATGAAGTTGTTGGGGGGTTAGGTGAGGGAAGGCGATGGCCATGGCTATCACTAAATGATACCACTGCCTCACACACTGGCCTGTTTGGTCTTCTCCTCTCTATCTGTCTCCACCTGTCAGCACTACTTGGGGTAGGAACCATCTTTCCAATCTGTGTTTGTTGAGCATTTAGTACTATGAGGTCTAGATCCAGGACTAGTTAATAATGCAGTGTTCGATTCAGAACAGTCTCATCCGAGTAGGCCGGGAAAGAAATATTCCAGGTATTTTTCCACCAATGAAAAGAAATTAAATATGCCTCCCTATGAGAATTTGCCAGCCATGAGAGCAAGCCGGTTTGGCAGGCTTGGCTGTTCTGCAAAAGCAAAGAATGCCTTAAATGTTAGTTCTGAATGGGCCTCCTCCGCGCACAGATCTGACAGAGCCAGGTGCTACAGATTGGTGACTGGGGTCCCAGAAGCATTGTCATTAGGTTGTTCATGCATTGCTGGCAGCAGGAAATTAGTCACTGATGCACCATCAAAGAGAATCTATAGTCCCTAGTAGCTCAGCTTTGAGGAGAGCAGAGTGGGCTTCATGCAGTTGGCCATGAAGGACTTTGGATCGCAAAATACTGCCAGAACTAATTGGCAGTTGTTTGGGTTATTCCCAGCCAAACCATGAGATCTAGGTAAAAGACGTATGAAAGAATGGACTTGGAGTCTTTTGCCAATTTTTCCCAGTACATCGACCATGAAGGACTGTAGATCCCTCCATCCATTGTGGGCAACACTGTCTGCCTATATGTATAAGGTCAGGGGTGCCAAGCCAATGGAACAGCATCTTAGTATTTTGGTATCAAGAAACGCCATATAAAGTTCATTGTACTGTGAGGTCCCAAACCATGAGCTCTGTCCTGGTTCTCTGTTCTCACCCAGAGGTTAAGGCTGATGAAGGTGAATGTCTTCTCCATCCCTAGGTTCAGATAAGCCCAGCCCAGGGTTAGGGATTCCTCTGTCTAGAGATCTGCTTCAGACTCCCTTTCTGGGGCTCTTCACTAGATGCCTTGGAGATCTGGTGGGTTCTGTGTTCTTCAGCTGGTGTTTTCTAGATCACTGCGGAGTCACTTAATCACTTTTTACATCTACCAACCCATTTTCCCTTCCGGTACTTTGCATGAGTTGTGAGTCGGTCTCTGTTGCTAGGCAGCTCAGTGAGAGGAGGTCTCGGCTTAAGGATCATTGGTTATGTTTTGTATAGTACTGGGGCTGGTTGGTTCTTTTGGATGTACCTTGTACCTTGAGTTTGACTCATGCCATCGACATCCAGCATGTAGGATGGCTTAATAAATACAATAAGAATCATGTGCTCAAAAAATAGTAGCTTTGAAGCCACAAGCACTGAAATGGGAACATTTGATTTGGGGCATCCCCTGCTAACTCTGTTCTTTTTGCTTCCTTATCTTGGTCTCTGGATACTTTGCACTGGCTGTATTTTGCAGACCTCTCCCAGAAGAGACAGGAATGGAGTCTCTGGGCAGCCCTACAGAAGACGAGAACACATCTTGTAAGTATTGGCCTTGCATATTTTGACTTTGAAGAGGCATTTTGCAAAAGTCAGATGTCGGAGCAGGCTGTGGCTACAGTAGGAGCAAATTCCCTTCAAGGTTTAACCAGAATACTTTGGCAAGGGTAATGAAACCAGTGAAGATTTCTGTCTGTTCCAGTTTCACCAGCAGTGGTGGAAACGGACGTTTTCAAAGGTGCTGATAGTCCTGTGGGCTCCTATTGAAGTAGTGAGTGCTTAACAAAATCTGGCAGGGAGGTTTCTGAATGTGGGACAAAAGTGCTCATTTGAAGAAATCTACAGGATGCCTGGGACAGGCGTTCAGAACAGGACAGTCCTAGCGAACATGGAACATATGGCCCAAGGGTCTAGAGACATCCATACTTCAGTATTTTTAGACCCAGTTTCTTTGTAAACAGGGCCCCTGTGTCTCAATATACTTGCCTGTAAGATGGGAATGATGATACTGATCCTGTATCATGAGGGGTCGTAAATGACAGTTAGTTACTGTCTGCACCGCTCCTTCCGATAAGGGAAAACATTATATTAGTGCTAAGCATTATTAACTAAATAGAAGCTCTTGCTGGGGGAACATTTAGGTCCGGTAACGTCTCCAGCTCAGGAGACAGATGGAATCTGGAGATTCCTCAGTCGTGCATAACAGCTGTGAAAACTGAAAACTGCAAAATAATGTGCTGGGAGTGTTGCCTAGTAGTTAGAAGAGAAAACTTGGAGTCAGGACTCCTAGCTTCTGCTCCTGGCTCTTGCCACTGATGCTGCCTTGTTTTGGTTAAATGGCGTAGTATATTTGTGCCTCAGTAGGCGCGTCTACACAAGATGCTTCAAGCACAGTAGACTAATTTCTACTGTGCATTAGCACAACGGGCAAAACGCATACTAATGTGCTAATGCACAGTAGAATTAGCCTAAAAAGGTGTGCACCTAGTTACTGCACGTTTAGTTTAGTACCTGTAATAACAGATACCTGTAATAACCAGCTGCTGGTTACTGCACATTTAGTTAGTACCTGTTACTACAGGTACTAAACTAAATGTGCAGTAACCATTGTGCATTAATGCATGTGTAGGAGAAACCCATAAAGGGGTTTCTAAATAATAACCACACTTTAAGTGCATCCTTGGTTGTAGTAAGCTAAGAGGCAATTTCTTAATATGATATTTTGATCTCTGTTCTCAAGGCACTCTCGCTGGCTGCCCTAATGCATGTGCCCAATTTGGACCTTGTTGGTATAGGAATAATAATATCTACTGCAGAGAGGTGTAAGAATGCTTTTTATATAAAGGGATCCATACACTCAATGTCTTGCTAAAAGAGTAGGTCATTAGGAGAAATTATTTCTTTCTTTCTTCCTTACTTGCAGCTCCTCCTAACACGTTAAACTTTAACGGGGCGCATCGTAAGCGTAAGACGCTCATAGCACCTGAAATCAACATTTCACTGGACCACAGTGAGGGCTCCATCCTGTCTGATGACTTCCTGGACACCCCTGATGATCTGGACATTAACGTGGATGACATTGAAACCCCAGATGAGACGGACTCCCTGGAGTTCCTGGGAAATGGGAATGAGCTGGAATGGGAAGGTAAAAGACAAGTTCAGGCCTCGGTCTAGTGCTCGACTAACTCCAGCCACCTTTCTTTTCACCCTGCTTCACTGTCAAAAGTATGGCCAGTGGGGTCTGCTAGCTCCGAAATACTGCTACAAATTCCTGAGGTCATCAGGACTTATAATGCTAGATGGTTGGATACATTCTCCAATGGCATAAATGTTCGCATCCCTGACAAAATTAATGAAGCATCTGACAAGGCATAGCATTGTGGTCCTGGCCAGATGTGATCAGTACATATGCTCTGCTACTTTTCACAAGGAGGGGGCATTAACATCAAGACAAATTCCACCACAGACCATTCCCTTCTTCCTCCTTAAATCCCCCCACCTCCCCCAAAGGTCAGTTTTATACAGTGACCCTCAGTCACTTACCCAAACTCTTGCATAATGCTGCTGTGAAACACCCAAGGGGACAGCACAAGGATCAAAAAGCATTTTGTGATCCTTTGTGACTGCAGCAGTATAGAGCACAAGGCATTGCTACGGTTTCTACTGCAGTTTGACAAGGGAGCACAACTAATTATTTGCAATAAACACAAACCTAGGGCAGACCAAAGCATGAAAGGAAAATTTTCATTCTTAATCTGTGGTTGCTACTGCCTCCCGTGGCCTTACTAATGGCTTGTCTACACTGGGAGTTGTCCTGGAACAGCTATTCCTGTTTAACTTCCTAAGTGGAGGCTCTTACTATGGAATAAAAATAATCTACTTTGGATGTGAGTAGAGCTCATTTGAAATAAATCACATTTATTCTGAGATTAACATTTTCCCAAAGCAAAAATAACACAGAATAGTTACCCCACTTTGAATTCATATACTAACTTATTTTGAATTAACTTCCATGTGTAGACCAGTGAACAGAGAAGAAGCTAAGATTCAGGCTTATAACCTTACTGCAGGAGGGTGAGCACCTGGAAACTCTCTCCAGTCTCACAGAGATGTTCACCAGCGTGCTCACTTTCCCTTTTTCAGATGATACACCTGTAGCCACAGCCAAGAACATGCCTGGGGACAGTGCTGATCTGTTTGGGGATGGAGTGGCAGAAGATGGCAGCACTACCAATGGGAGACTCTGGAGGACTGTTATCATTGGGGAGCAGGAACACCGCATAGATCTGCAGATGATCAAACCCTACATGAGAGTGGTGACACATGGAGGTAAGGGAAAGGAAAGCCATGGTGTGTTAAATGGCCCTGCTGGAGTTTCTTTCAAAAGTTTGTTTCTTAAGCTGATGGGCCGATTAAGATTGAATAACTGGTTGTCTTGGCCATAACATTAGAAAGCAAGAGATTTTTATTGTACATGTCCAATAGCAGACAGTGATGTTTCATATCACACTAAGAAACCCAGCTACATAACAGCCAGAGCACACTAACAAATTGCAGCAATAAATATAAGGTCTGAATTCAAGATGCAGGGCACCCTTAGCTCATGCTGAAGTCTCCTAATACAGCAGATATTCAGCAGCTCTGAAAATGAGTCCTGAAAACTGAGAAGCCCAAATTTACTAGCCCAAGTGATTTGACCCAGGTCTAGCAATATGTCAGTAGTTCAGCCGGGATAGAAAACCCTCCTTCCCCTAAGTCCAACAACTGCTTCATTTCCCAAGATGAAATAATCAGATCACAATTGTGAATACCTCTCTTGACTGAAAGCAGATATGGGACCTGATAAAACATGTTAAGATCAAACAGGAGGTCCTTGTGGCCCCCATGGTAAAATTCTTCAGGACTGGACTGTCACTTGGACTCTACTTGAATCCAGTTCTCGTTGTAGTTTGCTGGAATCCAAATCTAAATAGGTTTAGGGCACACTGCAAAGTGTAGTTATTTGCTTTATTTAAAAATTATAAAGAAGCCCAGAGCTGGAGCAATTAAGCCAGTGGTGGTTTATAGTGGTACATGGCTCCAGGAGGTGTGCTGTGTGGGCTCAGGATACTTGTCTAAGGTGGGGGTAGAGTTATAGAGCACAGCATGAGCATAGGTCTAGCTGTAAAAATGCCCCATTAAGCTCCCCTTTGACCTCGCTGCTGTCTGTTCCATTTCCGACTGTCATGCTATCCGTCTCTTTCTCTATTAGGGTATTATGGAGAAGGTCTCAATGCCATCATTGTCTTTGCTGCTTGCTATCTCCCAGACAGTAACTTGGCTGACTACCATTACATCATGGAGAATCTCTTTTTGTAAGTGGCTATGCACAGGTGCATGACAGAGGGGAGGCAAGGAAGGGAACGTGCATGGGGACTAGGGATGCTAGCGTCTGTGCTGCCTATTGAACCCACTGCATGAAGAACCTCCGTTGGAAAAAATGAACAAGGAGGAATCCATGAAGCTCCTGAGTGTATATGGCTGAATGCCACTAGATGCCCTGTCCTCCATGGTGTCCTCCTGCATGTCTGAAAAGCCAAAGCAATCTAACATGCAGTGTTAATGGATGCCCATATTACAGCCAGCTAAAAAAACATGTCCAGGATAGGGATCCTCCAGATGGGACTGAAAAGGTTTAATAGATGCTACTCCTGGGCAAAGGGTGCACATAAGAGTATGGACCATAGCTCATGACTCAAGACCATAGCCTTTCCATGACTCCTGCAAAGACACCTTATGAAAGGTTTGAGGTATCTTCTCTACAAAAAAGACCAGGAAGTTTTTCAATTCCAGTCTTTTTTGGACTCCCTGTGGTAAAGCATGGGGACGTATTAGCAGACTGAGGAATTCTTAGTCTGCTAATGTTGTGGGGCAAAGGCATGTGAAGATAAAAAAAAAGAAACTCCAATCCATCCATTTACTTTTCTGACGTTTCACCCCATTTCTGCTTTCAATTTCCATCCATCAGGTATGTTATCAGCAGCTTGGAGTTGCTGGTGGCCGAAGACTATATGATCGTATATCTGAATGGAGCCACACCACGTCGGAGGATGCCGGGCCTGGGCTGGTTGAAGAAATGCTATCAGATGATAGACAGAAGGTGAGAAACCAGCTTAATTAATGCCATGATCCTACAGTCTAATTGGACTCTGCTACTCTACTCTAAGGTAGGGCCGAAACAGTGTAAAGGCACCCTACTGGCAGTGACCCTTAGGACTCCAGCTTTAAAGGTGCTTTTGGCCTTCATGTACCCATGCAAAGTACTTTAGGACTGGATGCATGTAGAGGTCTGAATTCCACTGAGGATTAAGCAGCAGCAACAACAAAAGAGGTGCTGAGCACCTCAAATCACATTATTGGTATAGATCTATCCTTCACAACAGAAAGGGAGCAAGATTGGTAGTTTATTCCCTGGCTAACAGTCTGCAACTTCCTTGAGGCATCATGGACTCTTTCAAAGTTGGATATTGGTAACAGCAATCCCAGAGTACTGAAATGATGCCATCAGGTGGAGCAGTTAGAACGGATTCAGACAGTTTTCATCTCTTTCCTGAGTAGGGTACTGTGTTCCTACTTCATACCTGCCTGAGTTGTGGCATATAAGAGCAAAGGGACAACATGTAAAGACTTGTTTTCCATAAACGTAAAATAGAAGGTAACTGTCATTTTATGTCACTTTGGTGCTACATTTTCAGTAGTATTTTTATTATATTTCACTAGACTGTTAGATAAAATGCTTGTATGTTGGAGACAACCATGGCAATGTTCACATAACTATA